ATTAACTGATTCATATTTTCTGTATTTTCAGCAACTAAAGAAGAATTAATAGATAATTTCGTTAGGTTCAGTTTATGGCCAAGGTCGATTAGACTTTCATAATTAGTTTTGATGGAATACCGAGTGCCGATTCGTAGCTCTCTCAGAGATGGCATTCTTTCCAATGTTTCTATTTTGAATTTTTGGCCCAAGACCAACTCTTCGATACAATGGGCACAACTGCAGCGATCCAAAATCAAACTTTTCAGATCATGACAATTTGTTGCCAACCTTTCCAAAATTCCATTCGAAATTTTACCCTGGAATATTTCCAAAGCGATGAGATTTTCGAACTCTCCGATAATTCGAAGCAGTGCCACATTCGTACAGTGACAAAGTGTTAGTCTTTGGACATTGAAACGATTTAAATTTAGAAATTGGTAAACTTCTTTCTCTTTCATACGGCAAATTTCATGTCCATTGCAATTCACAAAATAATGTTCGCATTGCTGATTGACTTTTAGATCCTTGCAAGTGGAACGCCATACAAATTGAACCAACGTCTCGTGAAATTCTCTACACACAGGAAGTAGTTTCAGGTGATCTTTCAGCTTCAGATTTCGAAATATTTTTTCCAAAACGATGCTATTATTGACGAGTTGACTATGCGATGAATTAGTTTTGAACATTTTAATTTTTATTTTCTTAATAACGAATCGAAAGATATGCTACGCGTTTCTTGTGGTACTGTCAACTAAAATGTTTAATTGTAATAAAATGTATCATGCCATTGTATATTTTTGTTCGAAAACCACAGAGGCTATCATCGGTCATGATGAGTTAATTTAAATTAGGAATCTTATTTTAGGAGACACAAATCTCGCAATGTACTATGAATGGTTCATGGGTCATGATAGCAAATGATTCTTTGTCACTGTGGAAGAATCGCTCATTGGAACTAAGAAACGAATTGGTATTTTCATCGCATATTTTGGTTCATACATCAATGTAAAATGGGCCATAAAGTTTTCGAAGTCATACAATTGGAATTTCGCGATATTTTTATACCCTTCACCACACTGTGGTACAGGCTATTATGTTTTTGTGCATATGTTTGTAACAGGCAAAAGGACACGAGATAGACCCATGGTTCCTTTTGAGAATATGCATAGAACCACTTTCTGAGTCGATTTATGTATGTCCGTCCGTCTGTAGATGTTAAATTGTAAACAAAATACAGGTCGCATTTATGATCCGAATTTGGATTAAATTTGGCACAAGTCACTTATTTGGCCCAAAGACGAACCCTACTGAAATTGAAGAAAATCGGATCAGATTTAGATATAGCTTCCATGTATAGTTTCGTCCGATTTAAGTTAAATGGGGCACCAAAGTCCCTATGTATCTTTTGGTTTGCATGAATTTTGGAATAGAGTACTGAATTAGGTCCAGAATGATGTGTGTTTCGTAAAAATCGGTTCAGATTTAGATATAGCTCCCATATATAGTTTTGTCCGATTTTATGAAAATGGTTTACCAAAGTCCTTATATATCTTTCGATTTGCACGAAATTTGGCATATAATACAGAATTATGTCCAGAATGATGTGTGCCAAGTTTCGCATTTATGATCCGATTTGGATGAAATTTGGTAAATTTGGCCAAATTTCCTATATATCTTTCGATTTGTACGAAATTTGGCATAGAGTACTGAATTAGCTCCAGAATGACGTGTGCCAAGTTTCGAGAAAGATTTGTATATAGCTCCCATATATAACTTTATATATACTTTCCTATATATATTTTGTACGAAATTTAGTATAGTCCAGAATGACATGTGCCAAGTTTCGAAGATTGATATATAGCTCCCATATATATTTTCGTCCGATCTAAGGTAACTGGGGCTCCAAAGTCCCTATATATCTTTCGAGTTGCAGGGAATTTGGCATGGGGTGCTGAATTAGGTCCAGAAGATGCTTGCTAAGTTTCGTGAAAATCGGTTTAGATTTAGATATATCTTCAATATATATTTTCGACCGATTTAATTTAAATTGTGCACTGAAGACGCAAAGATTGGCCGATCGGCACACAATTTTGTACAATGTACTGCAGTTACTATAACCTTTCGTGTGTCAAGTTTTCCTGAAATTGGTTCAGATTTACATATAGCTTATATATATATATATATATATACTTTCGTCCGATTTTAAGTAAATGGTGCACTAAAGGTCCATACCTAGGCCGATTGTCAAAACGCACTGAAATTAATATAAATTTAATCTCTGGCATGTTTCCTTGAAATCGGTTCAGATTTAGATTTAACATAGCTTCCATATATAATTTTGACATATTCATGGGTGCCTGATTAATACTTTTTAAACAGTGAAGCATACCTAATAGCGTGAGTAAAGTTTGCTTTAAATATATTTACAAAGTATGGAATAGGTTGCAGAATGCCATGTGTTGGAATTGATTTTAGTCGGTTTACTTATAGATATAGATCGCATATTTAAGTCCGTTCAATTTCATGTCAATGTTCATTTGAAAGACGATGTCTGTTAGGATACATATGTAGAATATCTCTAAAGTGGTGAAGGGTATCATATAGTGGCCCAGTCCGACTTTACTACTTTCCTTACTGGTTTAAATAATTTCTTTGTCGGATTTTGGCTTTAATAGTTCGGAACGTCCTGTTCACGCGTTATATTTTGCAAAAACCTCATTTTTTTATTATTTTAAGCCTGTTTGGAATGTTGTGAAGCCGGCGATTCTATTTATTACATTATATTGTGATTAGGAGGAACAATTACCAAATATTAAATAATATATTGCTGGAGAATGTATTGAATTTAAATTTGAGAAAATACTCACGAAAAAATTCCGTGGTTTATTAGAATCGTCGCCAAATCGATTATAGTACGTGGTTAACCGCAATGATAACTATAAAACGATCAAACATGATTTTATTTACATTTTATACACACATTTTCGAGCATTGGCGTGTTTATTGTTGACAAAGCCTAGGATCTGCTTGGGGTCTATTTTGGAGAAGAAAGCTAGATGATCAATTTAATATTTTCAAAATGTCTGTGTCTTCTGCCACTCAGCGATGTTCAATTGTTTCTAGCTCCACCCCACAATGATTTTAATCTATCTCTTATCTCTTATTATGGGACAACAGCGAAGAAGTTCTTCGGCGAGAGAATTCTGGCCAGATGGCTTTCGAGATTCTGCAACCAGGTTCTCTTGACCATCTGTTGCTGACTACCTCGCGTAAATCAAGCGGGTTCTGCCAATAAAATAGCCAATGGGCGGTTGCACAGATCTCTCAGCTCGTCGGCAATCTCATTCCCTTCTATGTTACTATGTCCTGGAACCCAACATAATTTAACCATCCGTCGTATGTCATGTAGAGCAGCCTTGCAATCACGAACCGCATTTGAGTTTATAGTGCACGACTTTAAAGTCTTGAGGACCGCCGGACTATCGATGTATATAGTCCCCGGCCTTATACTATCGGCAGTAAGTGTTTTGACTATATCGGCCGTTTTCGGCCCTGCAGTAAACGCCTGCACCAGTACCTTCTTCCATCTTTGACCCGTCTGTGAAAAACGACAGACCTGGCAGAGGCAATGAACCACTTTCATGTCATTAAAGTCACTATGAGAGGGAACGTAATCACTAATGTGAGTACATCTCTTCAAGAAGTCATAACCTGGCGTTGTGTGAAGGGTACTTGTTCAACGACTTCCAGGCATCGGTTTCTCGGAGCCTCAGAGAATATCTAGCAGCCTGGAATTTGACCGCCAGTTGTTGGAGGTTCATGATTTCATTCAAGGCTGCTTGGGGTGTGCTTTTTAGTGATCCGGTTGTCAGGAACGAAGCCGATCGCTGTACTGTATTCATTTTAGTCAGCAGTATCTTTTTGTTGATCCCTGGGAAATTTGGAATCAAAGAGCACAATTTCTGTCTGTGGGATTTGTGCCAAGACCATTGACGTGTGCCCTGTTGGACAGAGTGGAAAGCGCACCTTCCATGATGTCTGAGATCGCCGGTAGAAACTTCCCACCGACCAGCAAGGCTACAAATTTTATTTTAAGATGGTCGAATTTTAGCAGTATCTCATGTATCACCAAAAGCCATAAAAGAGGAGATATTACTCCTCCGTGTGGTGTGCCTCTGTTCACAGATTTCCTCACAGAACTCTCATACACTTTTAATTTTCTTAAAAAAAATTACCATTTTGTGGAGGAGCTAACAGATGGAGGTGATCGATATTAGGATGTTATTTATCCTATTAAGTGTCATAATCTATACTGACAGATACACATATGTACAAGGAAACAATAATTTTGTAAATTTGATAAAAAAGTATTTACATGATACGTTTTGATTTTCTGTCAGTTTGTGAGAACGTTTTCAAATTAACGTTAATAACTTTAGTAGGGACATCGAAGCGCCACGGTTCCAGCTAGTACTATATATATATGTATATATAGTACTAGTACTATATACATATATAAGCTAATTTATTTAAGACCTATGAATAAGTGATATTTTCAAGCCAATTATAAATCAGTCAAACATAACTAATTTAAAAGAAATGCATCCTCATGTTAAAATAGTCAGTTGATCTAAAGAAAAATAATCGATAAATGGACTAGTAGTGGTGGGTTTTTTAAAACTAGATTCTAGTTTTCGGTTTCACGTTAATGTAAATGTGTTCCATACAAGCAACAATGTTCAATATCGCGTAAGGTTTCTATGTTTAGCGATTTTAGAAACAATGCAGAAAAAGTTGTAATTGTTTAAGGGATAATGTGCAGATGCCTGTGTTCCTGAAATACCAAACAATGTTTGCAAACATTGCTACAAATTCAAAGGGCTAATTGGCAATTATTTCCCTGTAATCATCATAAGTCAATTGCCGTTGGCATACCCATAATTAAGAATACTACACTGGCTGGAGGGTTATAATAAAATTGAACTAGCCCTTCAAAGTGTTTTCTCCCTTCAATCGCAATGGTTCTGGCCACGGATAATTCTCTAAGACTAAACGATTTCATTCGTTTTCCGTTGCAGTGTTATAGTGTCGTGGGTATAAAGATATTTCAGTGGGATGCAAATGATGTCATGACCACCAAGGAGAAGTGTATCTTTATCTTTCTGGTAATCAATTTTATAGTCTGTTGGTTTACGAAGGTTTTGTTCATTGTGTTTGGTGAGTTTGTCGATATGGTGCACGCAACCCAGTGGATGCTCTACTTAGTGTTTGCCATGAACGGTTGTTTTAAAACCATATCTGTGGCAATTGGTCGCCAGAAGCTTTACACAGTTCTCAAGGACATTGAGCGGATTTTTCCCCAGACTCTAAAGGAACGCCAGGAGTTCCGTTTGTCCCACCACTACGCCTATATTATGCGGCACTCAAAATTCATGAGCATTCAACACTGTAGCATTGCCCTGATGTTTATTGTCTTTCCGCTGGTGCAGTCATCAATCGAATATTTGATCAGCGATGCGGAGAATACGGAATTTGTGGCACGTACACCCTACATTATGGTATATCCATTCGATGCAACTGGCGGAATTGGTTATGCTGTTGCCTATTTATCACAATTAATGGGTGGTTTTACGATTTCGTGTTTTTTCATCGGCTCCGATATGCTGTTAATGTGTACGATTTATTTGGTAATTATGCAGTATGACTATCTCTGTTATCGTATTGACAATTTCAAAGCGAAGGATTTTGACAGTGATATGAAGGAGCTAAAAATCGTATTGGAAAGGCATAATTTGTTGAATGTGTAAGTTGAGAGTTTATTATTTTGGCATTGAATCGATAATATTGTATCACACACCGCGCAAGAAATCCTATATTCCACGTACTTTTATTGGGAAGTCTTCCAAACATCTTAGAAAAGGTACTAAGTTTGCGCGTCCAGATCATTGTCACTGTGCGTCGGAGTGAAATTGATTTTAACATAAAACACTTTAACATCTACTAACACTGATTTCAAATATTAATCCATTTCGCTCCAAGATAAAATTTTTATATTAATTAAAAAATATATTTTTTTTAATTTAATTAGGACCCCTTGATATAAAAAATGTACTCATTTCATTTAGTGCATGAAAATCCTAATTTATATATATATGGGTAATATTGCCAATTTTTTTAATATTCAATTTTCAAAAAGTCGGTTTTTTTTTGTTTTTGTACTACATCAATAATTCTTGGTACACATATATAGAAAAATTTGCGAATACGTTCGCGATAAAATTTTTGGTAGATGCGGCAAAAGTTATAGACGTTTTATTTTTATGCATAAACAAAATTTATAATTACGCCGTTTATTATACACTGCGTATCATAACTATAGACGCACCCTTAATTCAATTGGTATGTTAGTTGACAAATGAAATGGACCCATTAAGTTATGGTTCACAATAAAATGATCAAAAACAGATATTATTCAACAAAAATAATTAATTTATTCTTTATGGTTTCGCCGAATTCCGCCCTTTCCAAATTGCTGGTGTTGCATAACTATAGACGCACTTTTACAAAATTAGAAAAAATTATTTTTTAAAACTTAAATAAAATAAAATTACTTTTATAAATAATGGGTAGGGCCTCCCTTATTTTGAATAAGTTCAAAAATTTTAGCCATCACACTGTTGATCAAAATAATTCGCAAGTCTTCATCGATTGACCGCCATTCATCGATAATCACTTCTTGGAAATAAAATAATGTTTGGTATTGGCTGTTTTCTGCATAGACACGACGAGTCAAGATTCCACACATGTTCTCGATCGAATTCTGGTCGGAAATTTTAATATTTTTCGATTTTAACCATACTTGAGTATGGCCACTTTTATGAACTGGTGCGTTGTCCTGCTAAAAAACGAGTCCTTGATTGTTGCTGCTTTCCCAAAATGGCAATAATTTGTCTTCCAAGACTTGAACGCACTCCATTGAATTCATTCGACAACATGGAAATGTCAAATAAAGGCTATAAAATGCTCCCAAGGCCATTAAGGAACCGCCACCGAAATATCGTATTAAGAAATAACGATATTTCGGTAACCGCCACCTTGGGAGCATTTTATAGCCACGGAATGCTTTATTTGACATTTCCATGTTGTCGGATGAATTCAATGGAGTACGTTCAAGTCTTGGAAAACAAATTATTGCCATTTTGGGAAAGCAGCAACAATCAAGGACTCGTCTTTTAGCAGGACAACGCACCAGTTCATAAAAGTGGCCATACTCAAGTATGGTTAAAATCGAAAAATATTAAAATTTCCGACCAGAGTCCGATCGAGAACATGTGTGGAATCTTGACTCGTCGTGTCTATGCAGAAAACAGCCAATACCAAACATTATTTTATTTCCAAGAAGTGATTATCGATGAATGGCGGTCATTAGATGAAGACTTGCGAATAATTTTGATCAACAGTGTGATGGCTAAAATTTTTGAACTTATTCAAAATAAGGGAGGCCCTACCCATTATTTATAAAAGTAATTTTATTTTATTTATGTTTTAAAAAATAATTTTTTCTAATTTTGTAAAAGTGGGTCTATATTTATGCAACACCAGCAATTTTGAAAGGGCAGAATTCGGCGAAACCATAAAGAATAAATTAATTATTTTTGTTGAATAATATGTGTTTTTGATCGTTTTATTGTGAACAATAACTTAATGGGTCCATTTTATTTGTCAACTAACATATCAATTGAATTAAGGGTGCGTCTATAGTTATGATACGCAGGGTATTGAACAAAAATTTGACATATGACTTCATTTGTAAAATATGAATATGCTGATATTATAATAATCGAAAAGAGTTGCACACTTTCGCGAAAAAAATAAAAATATCTACATAATCTAAACACTGTGACACATCAAATCATATAAAAATCAGTCTGTGTAGCGGTTTGCAGCTTCCTTTTGAGAATATGCATAGAATCATTTTCTGAGTCGATTTATGCATGTCCGTTCGTTCGTCTGTCCGTCTGTAGATGTTAAATTGTAAACAAAGTTCAGTTCGCATTTATGATCCGATTTGGATGAAATTTGACACATGTCACTTATTTGGCCCAAGGACGAACCCTATTTTAAGAAAATCGGCTAAGATTTAGATATAGCTCCCTTATTTAGTTTCGTCCGATTTAAGGTAAATGAAGTACCAAAATTCCTATCAGTCGATTTGCACGAAATTTGACATAGGGTACTGAATTAGGTCCAGAATGGCGAGTGGTAAGTTTCGAGAAAATCGGTTCAGATTTAGATATAGCTCCCATATATATATTTTTGTCCGATTTAAGGTAAATGGGGCACCAAAGTCCCTTTATATCTTTCGATTTGTACGAAATTTTGCACAGAGTACTGAATTTGGTCAGGAATGATGTGTGCTAAGTTTCGTGAAAATCAGTTCAGATTTAGATATAGCTCCTATATATAGTTTTGTCCGAGTTAATGTAAATTTTGCACAAAAGAGCCAGAATTTGGCCGACCAGCACATAATTCTGTACAATGTACTGCAGTTGCTATAACCTTTCGTCTGCCAAGTTTTCTTGAAATCGGTTCAGATTTACATATAGCTCCTATATATACTTTCACCCTATTTTAAGTAAATTGTGCACTAAAGACCCATGCTAGGCCGATTGACACAACGTACTGAAATTAATATAAATTAACCTCTGGCAAGTTTCCTTGAAATCGGTTCAGATTTAGATATAGCATAGCTTCCATATATAATTTCGACGTATTCAAGTTGATTGTACACCAAATAATCAATGGGTGCCTGATTGATATACATTTTAAAAAGTGAAGCATACCAAAAAAAGAAACCAAATAATCACTAATACCTACACAATGTTGTTAATATTGGTCCCGCTTTAGGTATACCTCATATTACTTTGCCCTCTAAAATGTTTCACCCTACCATGGAAAACCCCGCATTAAAATTGCTGAAATTTGTATTTGGTCTACATTATGTTTTTCAACAATCGATTGGTAGAATTGTCGTTATAGGTCTACTCTTTGGTATGTTCCCCATAACTGTAAGTATTCCTATGGTGGAGTATATCCAAAGATCGATCCGGCCGAACTTAACGCTTTTTCCACTTGTTTATATTAAAATAGTTATAGATCCACATTTTCTGGTAGCCCCCATATAACGGTACATCCTAATTTTCAGTATTTTGGTGTATTGATTACTTTTCCACCGAATTGACTGTAATTTAGTATTTTGAGTTCTTAATAGGTAGTCGTATATGGTAATTAATCTCTCTAGTGAAAATTATTAATATTCGCCCTCTTTTAGGGGAAGTCCCCATATAACCCCTTTTTATACCCTTCACCACACTGTGGTACAGTGCATTATGTCTTTGTGCATATGTTTGTAACAGACAAAAGGAATCGAGATAGATCCATGGTTCCTTTTGAGAATATGCATAGAATCACTTTCTGAGTCGATTTTTGCATGTCCGTCTGTCCTTCCGTCCGTCCATGTATTTTTGTGAAAGTACAGGTCGCATTTATGATCCGATTTGGATGAAATTTGGCACAAGTCACTTATTTGGCCCAAAGACGAACCCTATTGAAATTGGAGAAAATCGGTTCAGATTTAGATATAGCTTCCATATATAGTTTCGTGCGATTTTTGGTAAATGGTGCACCAAACTCCCAATATTGATCCGATTGAGACAAAATTTTGCACAGAGTATTGAATTAGGTCTACATTGATGTATGTGATGTTTTGTTGGAATCGGTTCAGATTTAGGTATAGCTCCTATATATAGTTTCTTCCGATTTTATGTAAATTGTGCAGCAAACTCCCAATATTGGTCCGATTGAGACAACATTTTGCACAGAGTATTGAATTAGGTTCATATTGATGTATGTGATGTTTTGTTGGAATCGGTTAAGATTTAGATATAGCTCCCATATATAGTTTTGTCCGATTTCATGTAAATGGTGCACCAAACACCCAATATTGGTTCGATTGAAACAAAATTATGCACAGAGTACTGAATTAGGTCCAGATTGATGTATGCGATGTTTTGTTGGAATCGGTACAGATTTAGATATAGCTCCCATATATATTTTCGACCGATTTTATGTAAATGACGCACCGAGGAGTCTATGTTTGTTCTATATTCACGAAATTTCGCAGCGTGTATTGAATTTAGTCTAGAATGATTTGGTTAAGTTTGAAATCGGTTCGGATTTAAATATAGGTCACATGTATACTTTAGTATGGTTTAATGCAAATGGAGGAGCCTATTTCTTTTTCGCTTTACATGAAATATTGCATAGCGTATTGGATTGAAGACGTTTCAAGTTTAAATATAGCTTCCATATATATTTTCATCCGAGTTCATCAACATGATGTACCAAATAACTGAAGTTTGTCCGCTTATGACTAATTAGTGCACAACGTACCAAATCGAACCTAGAATAACGTGTATTGGATTTTGTGTCGAGATATATTTTGGATAACGTATTGTGATCCAGCATACCAAATGGTGGATGGTCCTCCAAAGATTATATGTCTATTCTATCTAAAGGATATTGTACATATGAGCATCTTTTGTATGTACCAAAAGTGGTGAAGGGTATCATATAGTCCCCCCGTTCGACTTTTGAAGTTTCCTTACTGGTTCATCTTAATATAATTTTCTGATTTGTATATAATAAAACAATATATTCTTTCGAGCTTGAGTCTTTTTTTATTTTTCACGATCAATATTTCGCAATTGTTTTAAATTGCATCTTCAGGATAATCTGCTAACAATTTTAAAATTAATGACATTAATTACACAGAATGAAGTGACAAAATCGCTTACAAATAAACTAGTGTCAAGTTTACTTAAAACTATCGTCGTCGGATGTAAATATTGCACTGAGTTTATTTTAGTTTATTGCACGATCTCTCTTTCTGTGTAAGGTGTCTGTAACAGTAAGCTGCGTTGTCTGTGTCGCTCTTAAAATTAATTCTCTTTGTTGTTGGTAGGTTGTGTATGTGTAGCATTTCCAATGTAAGTCTCCTATTGTAATTGTTTTCTGTTTGAAGTATTTTTACTTTATCAAAGTTTGGTCTATGGTTGTTGTTCTTACAGTGTTCTGCAAGTGCTGTTTTTTTTTTGTATTATTTTGATTCCTTAATTTTATGTCAGATTTGTGTGCCGATAATCTGGTTTTTAATTTTTTTTTTGTGGTTCCAACATACACCTGTTTACATTTTTCTTCGTCGTTTCCATCACATTCTATTTCATAGATAACATTGTGTTTTTCCTATTTTTGTATCTTGCTTTTCGTGTTGGAAAATAACGTTTTTAGAGTATTATTTGGGCCACCTTATATGTTTCTTTATCAAATAAATTTGCATTCTGAAATCTTTCCGAAATTATTGGGATATAAATCATTGATGTGTAAGTCCTTTCCTCCTCAGTTCGTGGCTGTTTACTTCGCAGTGTCTGATTATTTAGTATTCTGTTGATTACGTTGGCTGGAAAATTGTTATTTGATAGAATTTCTCTAATTTTAATTTTGTTGATTTCGTGGAACTTTTCATCGCTTATTTTTAAAATTCTGTTTGCTAAGTTGTTTGCCGTGTTCATTATTATCTGCTTTGGGTGTTTTGAAAAGAAGCTTATGATCCTCCCCGACGCCGTGGGTTTTTGGTACCAGTCTAGTTCTAATTTACCCTTATTTTGATACACCAACGTGTCCAAATATGTGAACTTTATATTGTTGTTGTAGCTGTTTAAAATAGTCAAGGTATCTGTTATTGCATCTTCCCCCAGTATCACAAAAAGATCGTCAACATATTTGGTTACTAGTGTAGGTTTCGTCGTTAGTTGTTCCATACAGGTGTCAAGAAGTTTCTCCATCACTATATCAGCTACAATTTGAGAAGCTGGTGAACCCATTGGCAGTACTTTTTTCTGTTTGTAAACCTTGTCATTATATGTGAAGTAGCGGTTGTCCTTAATGCAAAACGTAAGAATACTGAAATGCTCGGGAACAGTGATATCACATCAAACGATACCATTTTGTCATTCTCACCGACAGTTAAATTGGTTATCTTCTTTTTAAAGTCAATTGAGTCCCTTACGTTGTATTTTGAGTTAATTGTCAAGTTCTTCAGTATTCTAACCATGTATTTGCAAAGTTGTATGGAAGGTGAGTTTATGGAGGAACATATCGGCCGTAATGGATAATTTTCTTTGTGTATTTTGGGAAGTCCATATAGTCTTGGTGCGGTGGCCACGTCTGATTTAAGTTTTCGTCTCTCTATTGCACAAATTATGTTATTCTTGTATAACTCTTCCACTAGTTCATTGTTCTTTTTAATTAAACTTGTTGTTGGGTCCTTATTAATACGTTCATAGGACATCATGTCCGATATTGTTCATTCTTGCTTGATAATCTTCCTTGGTAATTGCCACCGTTACATTGCCTTTATCCGCATTCAATATCAATATGTCGTTGTTATGTTTTAGAAAAGTTCTTGTTTGATCCACTGTGTGGTTAATTACTTTGTCTCTTTCACTTTCTCTTTTCTTGTTCAAATGTGTGTCTATCATTGTTGTAAATTTAGTTCTCAAAATTTCTTGTAGTTCTTTGTCTTTGTTGGTTTGAATGATATCCTCTCCGTCCGCAATGAATTTAAATAAGGGAAAATCTCTCCGCTTTGTTGGTAGTCCAAACTTATCGCCAAGTGAGAGAAGCCACTTTACTTCGTTAGGAAATTGTATGTTTGTTTTGTTCACAAACCCGTTCTCATTGTACTTTATGTTGAGTTCGTTCATTTGTTGTTGTTTAAGCTTGTCAAATTTTTGTTTTTGGATTTTGTTAGTTTCTTTTTGTATGATATTTGTTATTCTTTGCAGATTATGTTGTCTTTCTCCTCTTGTGTTAGATGTTTCTCTAATTCAGTATCTAATCTCAGTATCTATTTTGAAAGTTGATTATGTATGACTCTAATGTTTTTTGAATGTGATGTATATGGGGAAATTTAAAGATATTGTAAATATTTTTTACTGAATTTCTTATGAAATTGGGTATTATACCATTGTTTCGGCATCTGATTAAGAATGTTAGAGAACATTTTGTTTTTGCACCTTTTACCTTTATGCTTTTGTGTCTGTTTATGGTATGTCTGATATTGTTATTTTTCTTTATGTTGTTGTAGATCATGTTGATGTTGTATTCTATCTTTCGGCGTGCTCTCCGTATTGTGCTTTGTTCTGTGTTGTTTTGTTCGACCTTTTTGATTCTTATAAAATAAAACAATATATTCTTTCGAGCTTGAGGTTTTTTTTATTTTTCACGATCAATATTTCGCAATTGTTTTAAATTGCAACTTCAGGATAATCTACTAACAATTTTGAAATTAATGACATTAATTACACAGAATGAAGTGACAAAATCGCTTACAAATAAACTAGTGTCAAGTTTACTTACTTTACTGATTTGTTCCGAGTTTTTTGTTTGGCTTTAAAACTCTGTTGTAATAATAAAACTAGAACGTAAGGTTCGATAATGAACTATAGCCCGCATTTAGGCCTAGCCCTCATATAATGATACCTACCGATTTTAAGTATTTAACTACAAATGTTCGTTAATTCCAGCACGATGTAATCACAATTAGTCCCGCTTAAGGTATAGCCTCCAGGGACGTAATCAAACAAATGTTTTTTTTTCTGCAACCCACAACAAAGCACCCAACCCAAGTGGACCGATATTCCCCATCTTCGAAATCTAAAGTTCGGCCCAGCCATTTTCGGTATTTTTAAATATTAAGCGTGAAGGAAGGTATTGCGATGCCAAAATGTGTGGTTAGAAATAGAGCTATAACAGTCCTTAATTATGCAAATATTTCCAAATTTTTTTTTTTAAACATTGTTTGAAAATCGAACAGAAAAGCCAAGATTTTTAGGTCAAAGGATACTTTATATCTTCAGAGTCATTTAGGGAAATTCAAAACAAATTTTTCAATATTTTTGAATAAAATGTATTTTGAATATTGACAAAGTGTCCGGAAAAGCCATTGTTTTACAACAACTAAATTAGCTTCACTCAATATATATACATAAATGGGTCGGACCGCCGATCGTTTAATTTATTTCGCCTTAACGTTGTCTTATTGTTTCTTTTCAGTGTTTCGAAAACGGTTAATGACATTTTCAGCATTTCAATATTGTTGAATTATATGATCTCTATACTGATTATCGTCCTGATTTCGATACAAATTACCAAAGGTTCGGACTTGGATTTGGATATGATAAAATTTGTTGGATTTTTTGCATCGTCTACAACACAAGTCTACTATATCTGTATGTTTGGAAACTTGCTAATTGATTATGTAAGTACGAAAACTAGTAGAGAAAACCATCCGTCCATTATCTACGTACTTAGCTGGCTTGTCACAGAACATTTGTTCCATAAGCCGAGCTTAAAAAAAGATTTCTACATATATCTAAATATATGATAAACTGAGATATTTTTCCACATATCTTTACACTATTTATAGAGTTCCCGAGTTAGCGAATCATTAATCGGCCAGGAATGGTATGCGACTGATATTCGTTATCGACGTATGCTGGTATTGGCCATAGCCCGTTCTCAGAGGCCATCACATTTGACTGCTTTCAAGTTTTTTACCATTTCAATGGAAAGTTATGGCAATGTATGTTTTTGATTAACATTCTGGTCTGTTTTTGTCAAATTTTATGCGCAAATTTCAAAACAACCAATTTTTATAAAATACTAAACGAACGAATTTGAGTTTGACATTGGTTTTGAAAAATATTTAATTTTTGTGGTACCACTTGTATTCATTGGTTTTTATTTTACCGAAACAGATTGAAAATATACTTTCGAATTCATTTCGAATATGTTCACGTTTAACACTGTTATTTTTATAAAAATCTTTTCGTTTTTCTTTCTTTTTTACAGTTAATGACATCGGCTTATCAACTATTTACTTTGTTAAAGACACAAATGGAGCAGTAATTCTGAAGAATCAGTAAATCACTTAAACTTTACATTCTATTTAATAGCGAACTACAAACATGATTAGCTTTTGTCCTTTTAATATGCACGCAAATATAGAATAATCTTAGTTTACACTAAACATTGCCTTTTCTTTTAATGTGAACTGCATAAGGCGTAATCGATCCAATGGGACAACTATATGAGTATACTCGGCATTGACAGGACAACCACACTGCCAAAACGATTATACTCGTCCTACTTGAAATATTTTATAAAATGCAGGCTTTTAATCAGGGTGCGAAGAATGATTAAAATACGCTCTTTTTCACGAATGATCACGGCGAGAATTCGAATGTTTTCAATTTATCGCGAATGATAAAGTTACAATGAATGAACAAGCATTTGCAATCTCTCGCGAATGTTCGCATTGTACGAAAAATTCACAAACGATAAAATTTCGCTGTAAGCGTCGTCGATTCATTCTTTCACGAGCACACACGAGTGTGTGGAATAACTAAACACATGCCCAACAACTATTGAGTTCTCGAACGTTTGTTGTTATTGTTGTTGCCGTTTTGAGCATTCGCGAGAATTCGGGAATGTTTGCTTTCATTCGTGAGAGAACCACCCAACGAACGAACGTTGTTGTGTGCCTTCACTCGTTTGTTATGTGTGTGCGAACATTCTTTGGCAAATGCTCGTTTGGTAAAAAATTTATCGCCATAAATTCATTCGTAAAATGAGCACAAAACGAAAAGAATGTATTTTGAATCATTCGCGAGCGAATTTTTGCGCACCCTACTTTTAATATAGCATTTTTGCCGTAAAGAGAATCTAAAATTATCTATCAAACTAAAAATATTCTACTATTATTTTTCATGAAGGTGTGATTGGACATTACTTCTTTAAAAACGACGACGATGGAACGACTGTCACCGTCAATGCGGAGCGTTATGGTCATATGATAATCTACTTTTTTTTGCCTTCTATTGCAGAATTAGACTTGGAGAATATTTGATTTCAACCCGATGGTGCCACATGCTACCAAACTCAAGCGAATGCGTCATTTTTGCAAGAGACATGCGATCATGTATTTTCAACAGAAATGATTGTAATAGGTCCCATGGGCTGTTGGTGTGTGTCAAATTGCTCACACACATTATAGAAGAGTAACATTAGAAAATAGAAAACATATTTTCTATTTTCAAACAAGTCGAAATACGTGACCAATACTATGGCGGGGGGACAAAACGGAAACAAATATATCTTTATTTGGGGAAATGTATGCTCAACAGCCATATTAGCATTGACTATACAATTTGTTTCTTCCTTAAAATTTGAAAATAATATTTTGACAAAATTTCTCACAGTATATGACATAGAAATAAAACTTTTGAAATTTCCCAGTTGTTCAATAAATATCAATTGTCTGCTTATATACAGTTATATAACTAGTTACTATGTTATCTAGTTACTTTATACCCAAAAATGGAACACAAAATATACTATTGACTTCATTTGTTGATTGTAAACGTTTTCTATTTCTGTAATTACTGGTAATGCGAAAAGTAATGAATCGAAAAAAGCAAAACAGAAAAAACAATTGCCATTTTCTTCAGACTTTATAATTTTTTGAATTGTGAAAGCAAAAGTTTGATAAAAATATGTGTTTTACACAAAAATATAAGCAATCAATATTCACGATGTTGAAGATGAAGTGCCGTTTAAATAAAAATTTCAAGAATCTAAAATGCAAATGTTGAATCTAAGGTTCTAGTTTTCTGACACAATAAATACATACGTAATTTTTTTCAACAATATTATTCTACAGATTTTCAATAGATGTCAATTCAGAAGCATCCAACAGATCGGGGGAACAAATGAAAGTTTGAAATACATAGGTAAATATTCTCCAAAAGCTTCTACTAAGAGACCAATATTTTTAGTTATATTTTGTAATTTTCTATTTCAGATGCTTCAATATTTCGTAGAGGGCAGATTTAAAAACAGTCGAGAGACAAAAGAAATAGCAAAATGGCGGTGTGAAAAATCAGATCTGATTATGATCAAAATATATATTATACAACATAATTCTGAAATAAATAAAAAAATATGTATTCACAATAACTTTTATATTTTAATTTTTCCAAACTGTTATAATAGCTAATTTGCTATATATGTAACTAGGAATAATACTAAACAATGGTATCTACCGAAATTGCTGGTAACTAGTGGTAGTTACAGGTAATTAGTAAAATATTTAGTTTATAACCAGTTACTCGAACTACTGGGTTGTTGTATTTCAAACAAATACAATCACAAAACTTGAATGTATTAGTGTGGACAGTCCTGATTTAATACCAATATGGGTCTACGTTTCGAAGTAGACCCCATATACACTGTAGACCCCATAAAAACTTAAGCAACTGAAAATAAAAACCAGTAAGGAAAGTAGTAAAGTCGGACGGGGCCGACTATATGATACCCTTCAGCACTATGGTATATATCTAAATCTGGACCGATTTTCACGAAACAAAGCAGACATCACTCTATGCTCAATTCAGTACGTTATGCCAAAATTCGTGCAAATCGAAAGATATATAGCGACTTTGGTGCACCATTTACATGAAATCGGACGAAACTATATGTGGGAGCTATATAGAAATCTGCACCGATTTTCTCGAAACTTGGCAGACATCACTCTAGGCTCAATTCAGTACGTTATGCCAAATTTCGTGCAAATCGAAAGATATATAGCGACTTTGGTGCACCATTTACATGAAATCGGACGAAACTATATATGGGAGCTATATCTAAATCTGGACCGATTTTCACGAAACTTGACAGATATCATTCTAGGCTCAATTCAGTACGTTATGCCAAATTTCGCGCAAATCGAAAGATATATAGGGACTTTGGGGCACCATTTACATGAAATCGGACGAAACTATATATTGGAGCTATATCTAAATCTGGACCGATTTTCTCGAAACTTGGCAGACATCACTCTAGGCTCAATTCAGTACGTTATGCCAAATTTCGTGCAAATCGAAAGATATATAGCGACTTTGGTGCACCATTTACATGAAATCGGACGAAACTATATATGGGAGCTATATCTAAATCTGGACCGATTTTCACGAAACTTGGCAGATATCATTCTAGGCTCAATTCAGTACGTTATGCCAAATTTCGCGCAAATCGAAACATATATAGGGACTTTGGGGCACCATTTACATGAAATCGGACGAAACTATATATTGGAGCTATATCTAAATCTGGACCGATTTTCTCGAAACTTGGCAGACATCACTCTAGGCTTAATTCAATACGTCATGCTAAATTTCGTGCAAATCGAAATATATATAAAGACTTTGGGGCACCATTTACATGAAATCGGACGAAACTATATATGGGAGCTATATCTAAATCTGGACCGATTTTCACGAAACTTGGCAGACATCATTCTAGGCTCAATTCAGTACGTTATGCCAAATTTGGTGCAAATCGAAAGATATATAGGGACTTTGGAGCACCATTTACATAAAATCGGACGAAACTATATATGGGAGCTATATCTAAATCTGGACCGATTTCCTCGAAACTTGGCAAACATCACTCTAGGCTTTATTCAATACGTTATGCCAAATTTCGTGCAAATCGAAAGATATATAAAGACTTTGGGGCACCATTTACATGAAATCGGACGAAACTATATATGGGAGCTATATCTAAATCTTGACCGATTTTTACGAAACTTGGCAGACATCATTCTAGGCTCAATTCAGTACGTTATGCCAAATTTGGTGCAAATCGAAAGATATATAGGGACTTTGGAGCACCATTTACATAAAATCGGACGAAACTATATATGGGAGCTATATCTAAATCTGGACCGATTTCCTCGAAACTTGGCAAACATCACTCTAGGCTTTATTCAATACGTTATGCCAAATTTCGTGCAAATCGAAAGATATATAAAGACTTTGGGGCACCATTTACATGAAATCGGACGAAACTATATATGGGAGCTATATCTAAATCTTGACCGATTTTTACGAAACTTGGCAGACATCATTCTAGGCTCAATTCAGTACGTTATGCCAAATTTGGTGCAGAGCGAAAGATATATAGGGACTTTGGGGTACCATTTACATAAAATCGGACGAAACTATATATGGGAGATATATCTAAATCTTGACCGATTTTTACGAAACTTGGCAGACATCACTCTAGGCTTAATTCAATACGTTATGCCAAATTTCGTGCAAATCGAAAGATATATTAAGACTTTGGGGCACCATTTACATGAAATAGGACGAAAGTATATATGGGAGCTATATCTAAATCTTGACCGATTTTTACGAAACTTGGCAGACATCATTCTAGGCTCAATTCAGTACGTTATGCCAAATTTGGTGCAAATCGAAAGATATATAGGGACTTTGGGGCACCATTTACATGAAATCGGACGAAAGTATATATGGGAGCTTTATCTAAATCTTGACCGATTTTTACGAAACTTGGCAGACATCATTCTAGACCTAAATGATTAGGCTGTACCAAATTTCGTGCAAATCGAAAGATATATAGGGGCCGTTTACATTAAATCGGTTAAATATATATGGGAGCTATATCTAAATCTGAACCGATTTTTCCCAATTTCAATAGGGTTCGTCCTTGGGACGAATAAGTGACCTATGCCAAATTTCATCCAATTCAGATCATAAATGCGACCTGTACTTGGCTATGAACTCTTTAACTGATAAACTACTTGATACAGGTTGCTACATGTTTGGCTCACATGTTTTTAATATCAAAACGAATATTGGGTCCATGTTTTGAAATACCCCCCGTATAACCGTACTTCCCGATTAGACACGTTTTACAATAAAATTGGCTGTAACTTGGCACAGAGAGTTATCCATGGGTACCGTTTTCTGGTAGCCCCCTTACAAAGGTACTCCCATTTTGAGTATTTACCCAAATATTGCGTATAAAATCATTAACTGGCGAAC